CACTTTCGAAATTTTACTACTTGGATGCTATTTGGTTTATATCACCTGCCACATTTCAGAGGTGTATGATGGCAATAATCTCAAACATGATAGAAAATTTTATTGAGATATTTATGAATGACTCCTCAATATTTGGGTCTTCATTTGATACATTTCTCAAGAATCTATCCATAGTTCTACAAAGGTGTAAAGAAAGCAATCGTGCTGAATTGAGAGCACTTCATGATTCAGGAGGATATTGTATTTAGTCATTCCATATTAGGTAAAGGTATTGAGGTTGAAAAAAGCAAAAATTCAGCTAATTGAAAAACTTCTACCACCTACTTCAGTAAAGGGAATCTGAAGTTTTCTAGGTCATGCGGAATTCTACAGAAGGTTTGTCGAGGATTTCTCAAAGACTACTAAACCCTTGTGTAATCTACTTAAGAAAAATGCCCCACTTCAATTTATTGAAGAGTGTTTGATAGCATTCAATACACTTAAGGAAAAGCTGGTAACTGTACCTATCATTGTGGAACCAGATTAGTATTTACATTTCGAAGTCATGTGTGATGCAAGTGACTTTACAGTGAGAGCAGTATTGGGTCAAAGAAGAGATAAGATACTTCATTTGATTTACTATGCCAGCCATCAATGATGCTCAAATTAATTATGCCACTACTGAAAGGAGTTGTTAGCAGTGATGTTTGTATTTGACAAATTTCGATCTTATCTCATTGGTTTGAAAGTCATAGTCTACATAGATCATACAACTCTCAAACACAGACTAGCTCAGAAAGAAGCCAAGCATAAACGTATCACATCGGTACTAATCCTGCAAAAGTTTGACTTGGAAATTCGAGACAAGAAGGGAATGAAAAATTTAGTAGTAGATCACCGATCTAGATTGGAGCAGATCACACAAACATAGGACAATGAAATCAATGAATTCTTTCTCAATGAACATTTGTTCGCTTTACTTGAGGTCCCATGGTATGCAAATATAATCAACTACCTCACAAGCAACATTTTACCTCCTAACAGTACCCATCAACAGAAGAATTATTTTTAGATTTGAAGTATCACTTTTGGGAGGATTCATATTTATAGTCAAGGTCCAGATCATATCATTGAAGGTACATACCGAAAGTAGAAATGGTTGAAATCTTAAAGTAGTGTCACTCATTAGACTATTAAAGGCATTTTGGGACAACCAAGATAGCTGTTAGGGTACTCCAAGCAAGATTTTATTCGCCAACTCTTTTTAAAGATGCCCACAGTATAGTTAAAGCAGGTGATTGACATCAAAAAACTGGAAACATCTCTAGAAAAAGCTTCTGAACTTCATACTTGAAGTAGAGTTCTTTGATGTTTGGGGTATAAACTTTATGGGACCATTTCCATCTTTATATTCACGATAGTACATCTTGGTAGTGGTAAATTATGTCTTTAAGTGGGTAGAAGCAATTGCTACACCAACCAATGATTCTCAGGTAGTCATAACTTTTTTGAAGAAAAACATTTTCGGTTAGTTTGGAACACCAATGGCACTCATTAGTAACGGTGGCAAACACTTTAAAATAGGATATTGGATTCAGTTTTATCGAAATATAGAGTGAACCATTATATTGCTAAAGTTTATCACCCACAAACAAGTGGACAAGTAGTAATCTCCAACCAGGAGATCAAACGAGTACTAGAGACAACAATAAACATATTAAGAGAGGATTGGGCAAAGAAGTTAGATGATGTTCTTTGGGCATACAAAATAGCTTTTAAGATATCTATTGTGTTGTCTCCATATCGATTGGTGTATGGAAGAGTTTGTCACTTATCAACGGAGTTGGAGCACAAAGTATATTGGGCAGTGAAGAAATTGAACATTGATATGCAACAATCTAGAAGGAAAAGATTTTTACAACTTAATGAGATGGACAATTCAGGAATGATGCCTATGAAAATGCCCGTATTCAAAAGGAACAAACAAAGCGATAGCATGACAAATTTATTCAGGGAAAAGAATTACGGGTTGGGGAGAAAGTGATACTCTATAATTTTCGATTGAGACTCTCCCCGGGAAAATTACGATCTAGATGGGTTGGACTGTTTACACTGGAGTAAGTTTATCCTTATGGCATAGTTGAGATAAAACATCCACAAAAGGGTAACTTCAAAGTCAATATTCAATGGTTGAAACGGTATTTGGAAGGAGATTTTTCACAAAAAAAAAAAAAAAAAAANNAAATAAAAAAAAAAAAAAAAAAATCCTCCATCATCTTAGTTGAACTAGAATGATCAACATGGCAGTTGAGCTCAAGATGAGAAATCGAGCGTCCAATGGGAGGCAACCCATTCTCTTAACCCTAAACTCTTTAATTTTTAGTTTTTATATTGCATATAGGAAATTAAATTGCATTAAACATATAGATTTTTGATTGCCTAGACATTAAAAAAGAAAAGAGCGTAATCGTGGTCAACAGGGATTCAAAACAAATTGCTGCATGCTGCGGTTGGACATGGGTTTGTTAGTATTATTATGAAATTGATACTTAATTTTTTTTTTATTATATTTAGAGAAAACTCAAGATCGGAGGGCATGATCTAGAAGGACTTGAATTAAATTAAAGAAGACTTGGGCAGCACAAAAAACATGGAATTGAGGACTAATATGCACATGTTGAAATAGTGGTGGTCATTGGCGCAAATTGCAAAATAAAATGGCATGGAAATTAGAACTTTTAATGTGGTTGAAATTCCAGTTGGAAGAAGTTTACTTAAAACTCAAATTGGAATCCGAATTGGATCAAGAAGTTGACTGTTGAGGAATTAAAAACGGAAAAAACAATGTAGAAAAAGAGGAAGAGACAGACGGCAGAGAAGAAAACTCCAATTTTTTGTGTAATAATTCATCAAAAAATTGTGCAAGAATTGTCGAATTAATCACGTTCCATCAACAAATATATCGAGAGATTTTTATAATGCAAGGATGGAAACAAAGAATAATTGTTGGGATTCATGTGGCATAGATCAACAATAGCTCTGGTTGATATTTTTTTAATTTTTTGTTTACTGTAATTAAGCCCGATGATGTCTTTTAACCTTTATTTGTTTAATTTAGACATTATGAATGGTTAAATACTTTTCATGTTAGGATGAACGATATAATTTAGGGTTTACTTAATTTTTGTTTAATTCCAAGACTTTGTGCCACTATTATATGTGTTAGTTATTTATTATGTTTAATGCGTTAATTTTTTTTTTTAATCACCAATTGATTGATTTAGGTATAGTACAAAAATCGAAAAGTAATGTATGATTCTTGCTCATGCAGTAAATAACATAAATATTATAAGAAATCGAGATATAATTATAGACCGTGCAATCTATATAGAATTCATATAAGTTAAAACATTCATGTATATGAGTTTACATAGAGATATAGTAAGTTCGGGGCATATGAGTAGGACTAGTGCTATTCGAGGGAGATCATTAGCTATATTATGTTAATTTGATTGCTGGTACATATAAAGAAGGGGTTGAATGAATTGGAATTAGATGAACGTTAAGTAACTGAAGTTAAATCGGAATTCCTAACTACCTAATCTCATAATCTTCTCAATCGTGTTCATTAGATTTCCTTATTTAGTTTTGTAAAACTTTATTTACAAACTATATTTTGATTTGATAATTGGTTACCTCTTTAATTTGAATTGAAACTTGGTTAGTTTAAAAATCAAACGTAGATAGTAGTCTCCGTGGGACGGTACTTGAATTTAAAAATCCATTTTACTACTTATCACGATACATACACTTGCAGAACTTCAAGAACACTTCTACATTGGATTTTGGTAGTGTAATTTTGTTTTTGATTTGAGTTAAAGCCAAAACAAATTTAAGAATCAATTTAGTTTAGTTTGGTTTGGTTTGGCATAACCAAAACGGATCGACGCCCATCTCGGCTCTTAAAAATAGCAAGCTTCATTAGTTGAATTTACAAATACACAATATTATTTTATTTTATTTTATTTTTTGAAAAACCAGCACTAACATATCACATTACTCAATCACCACAAACTAGGGTTCAAAGGAAAGGCAGAATACATTCCATCCCTACACAACAACTAGAAGCTAAAGACACGAGAAGCAATATTGTGGACAACTTTATTTCTCTTGCATTGAATAAACTTGCATGAACCCCAATTTTTATAATGCAAAAGAGAAGTAATTTCAAACACGATTGATTCATTAGGGTACAAATGAATCCCCAAAACATGTATGTATGTCTGTCCATACCTATAAAGGACTTCGAGAGAGCCATCGATGGATCATCGCTAGAGATTCTTTAGGCTTATACCATGATGCTACATGTCCAGCACCCTGCAAAATAAAAATTTAAACTCTCTTTCATTTCTTGTTTTTCTTCAAATCCTTTTAAGAAATAGCACGTTCAAACTTGTCTTGCCTTGATTGTTACAAATGAGAGATGGAAGTCATTCTTCTTGTACTTCTGTGTATATCTACAAGGTAAAGTACTTTGCAATTTTGAGAACAATACATTTCTATATATATATATATATATATATATATATATATATATATATA